GAAAATAGTATTAAATGTTATTTACCTTCTTTGATATTCATGAATTTTGCATCAATATCGAAATCATATTCAGTCACTTATTTTAACAAGAAAGTAATATAATAAGTAATTATTGATATTGTATTTTTTGAAAGTAGTATTAAATGACATTTACCTTCCTTTGGGAGATACATATTGAGACCATCATATTCATTTACATATTCTAACAAGAAAACAATAATAAGAAATTACTAAATTGATTTATTGATTTTGTATTTTTGCAAATAGTATTAAATGTTATTTTACCTTTCTTTGGAACATAAAAATTGAGATTTGTAGTAGATTTGGCATCAATCTCGATATCATATTCAGTCACATATTCTAGCAAAAAAGTAATACATGTATAACAAGTAATCACTAAATTAATTTATTGATATTGTATTTTTTTAAAAACAATATTGAATGTCATTTACCTTCTTTTGGGACATACAAATAAACACTTGTAAAGCCTAATGATCCAAAATAAATTTTTATTCGCAATGAAATGTCAGTATTATCTATATTAGAAATAATACAGTACCTGTATTATTTGGCATTTGAATTAGCTTTTTAATAAAGATTCGGCTGGTGCAAACTGGATTCGAGTTGATTGGTTGTATTTTTTGAATGGATTTGTTCTCATCAAGTTCAATTAAATTCCGCCCTTCTCGTTTAAAATAGTCATTAATCTGATCAAGTTCTTCTAAATTTTGCCATGCTAGTCTATCATCGAAAGATTGACTAGTGTAAACTGCATGATTTTTTTGAATGGATTTATCTTCATCAAATTTATTTAGATTCTGTCCTACTAGTGTAAGATACCCATAATTCTGCCATTCTAGTTGATCCACGAAAGCTCTGTAACATTGAAAATGCAAATTATTTAGCTTCAATTTGCTGTTACCTACTGGATCGTTGATAAATTCGTTGAAAGAATTGATAAAGTCATAAAGTTCTTCAGCAGTTGGTCTTTTTTCTGGCATAGGATCCCAACACTTTTTAATAATAAAGTTGCAGAATTCAGGATCATTACTTGAAATTTCAGGTCGTGTTCCTTTGTAAATATCGCATACAAGATGTATATTATGAGTCCGTTCACCGAATGGTAGTGTGCCTGTTACAATTTCGTACATAATCATTCCAAAACTATATATATCTGCAGCTTTAGTGTATGGCCTTCCATTTAGCACCTCTGGACTCATATAAGGAAGTACTCCATAAATTTCTCGGTTTGATATTCCCATCTTTGCTTGGCTAGTGAGTCCAAAATCAGCAATTTGAGCATCACCATCCAATATTAATATATTTCCAGGATGTAAGTCACGATGCACAAGTCCTTCGTTGTGAATTGTAAGCAGCCCACCGATGATATCAATTAAATAATTTAGTTTATCATCCCAAGTCAATTTTTCGTAGTTTGAATTCATATATTTGCGAAGGTCACCATCTTCTGCGTAAGACATCACTATCGAATACTCATTTGTAGTTATATTTTTAGTAATTCCATGATAAATAATAGCATTGCACTTTAAAGCGGTCTGGACCTTTTTTTTGAAGTTTGTTTAGATTAGAAAAAGTGCACCTTTCCTACGTTATAGACATTGTCCAATCTTACCTCATTTATAAACCCTAAAGTAATTTGTTCCAAATCATTTAATGATTTCAACACAACTACATGTTCATTAGATCGTTTGAATTTATTTTCTTCATGATCCCACTCATTTTTCAATGGTCCATCCAACCAGGTTGCTTTAAAAATTGTTGCAAAAAGTCTTTTTGCTAAATATTCAACATTGGAAAATCTTTCAAATGGGATCCATTCAAAAAATGGTTTTATTTTCGTACATTCATTTATTAAGTTGTCTATTTCTTTAATTTCGCTAGTCCATTCAGCTTTATAAAATTTATGGTGATATTCTGAACATTCTTCACAGATTTCAATATATTGAGTATTAGATTTCTCATTTCTGAATTCACTTTATAAAATGGCGTGAAATGTATTTAGTGAATATGTGTTTGTTTTATATCGGTATGACAATAAAATTATAATGATATATTATTATATAAAAAAAATTATTACCTCAATGTTCTTGCTATTGGAGTATTGTTTGGCGGTAAAGAATCGTTGATTAAGGCATCATAAGAATTAACCAAAAATTTTTTATGAATTGATGTATTATCGTTCAAAGATGTCGACCTAACAATTTGTGCTGCTTCTTGAGAAATTGAATGATTACTCGCTGGGCTAGACATAGATCCCGAAGTAAATGTGTATTTAATCTGTTCAGGAAAAAGCTCATAGCTATAATTAAGATATAAACTTTTATGATTCTCACAAGCTATTTTCGCTAATATTTTGAAGAAATACTTGTCTTCATTTGACAAGCTTCTCCATTTTACACTGCATTCCTTTGCTGTTTCTATGAATTTTTGTTTAGCGTATGGATTTAACAAACGTAAACGTGCTTCATAGTCTCTTTTAAAGATTATCCAGCTATTCTGTGGCCGAAGTGGCTTATAGTTTCTTGCAGCCGGCTTAGTCAATTCTTCGATAGAAAGAGTTAACTGGTAAGGGTTATTTTGTAAGAATCGCCGATCGGCTTCAGTTAGACACGCGATGAAATTAGACATTTTAAAATACGATTCAATTCAGAAAAAAACAAGTACATGTATTTTCTACAACTGAAATTATTACACGTAGTCCGTTGTACAACGTTTCTTACATGTCTACTTGGTAGACAAAAAGTCTGGAATCGGTAATGATTGATATACAATCATTTCCGATTCCAGACTTTTTGTACTGTGTTACATTTCACGTTAACAATTCAAGTTTCAATATTACATACAGTATTATACCAATACATTTTTTGATAACATTAACATACATGTAAATGCCAGAACCAAAACCCGAGGAGATCTTTGTGCAAATAAACGAAAACACACCTATCGCTATACAACTCCCCATAAACAAACCACTGAATGAAATCCGTCTTATACTTGCTAATGAACCAAATCTTCGAATGGATACAAAAATGAACTTTGTAAATCCATTTGCTAGAATCTTACGAAACAAAGAATGTGAACATCTTTTATCAGAAATTCTTGATAGTAACAATCTAAAAATTATTGGTGAACAGGAGCCAGAACCAAAGCTTGAAGGAATTAATGTTCAAATAAATAGCGACACACCTGTCCTTATACCACTTTCCATGGGTGAAACAATGAATGAAATCCGTCTTTTACTTGCTGATGATCCAAATATTCGAATGAGCTCAAAGATGGCATTCATGAGCCCATTTTCCAGAATCCCGCAAAACTATGAACGAAACTTTACTTTAACAGAAATTCTTCATCCTAATAATAATTTGAAAATCATTGGCGAGCATGAACCAGATTGGGAATATATAAAGAGCAGCTGTAAACTGGAATATGGCGTTAACTTTACGGAAAAAGGTCCAGAAAGCGCAAAGAAAAAAGCATTTGATATTACAAAACTTGACGCTAGAAAGTTAGCTAGTACAGACGCAATTGATGAAACGATTGTATGTCAAACAGAAATTGATAAAATTTGTGTACAAAATTTTTTAGTGAAATCTGAAATTACTGCAAATTTGCCGCGGTGGTGAGTTAATTCATATAAGAAACTTATTTCTTTATTTACATGTTAATGGATTTTTATTCTAGGTTACTGATTTCGACAGCTCTTGAGGGATCTGGAGAGACCGAAAATCATAAAAACAGCAGAAATTCAATTACTTGTCAGACTTCAAAAATCATAAAAGCTACAATATCATATTCTGATTCAGAAATAAAACCAACAAAAGAATTTATAGAGTCTGTTGACAAAGCGCTCGCATCAGATGATCCACCCAAAAATCTTGAAGAGGTCGCTAAAGACTACGGCCCATTATGGTGCAAGAAACTTGGAATTGGTGGCAGGATTGTATCTAAAGAAAGCAAAGAAAAAAATACTACCGAATGTAATAATTCGAGAGAAATAAAAGCTTCTGTGAAGCTGAGGGTAAATGAGCATGTTGAGATTTCTGGAGATACAGGAAAAAGTCAACAAACAAAAAAGATGAGTTTATTTGCAAACGAAACATCATCTTGTCGAATATTTGGTGGCTCAGAAGATATTTATCGTGAAGAGTCTAAAAAGGGTTAGCATAAATATGATGTTATGTAAATTCTTAATTTATCTATTTAATTATAATAATTTTTAGGATGGATAAATTCATTAAACGACTTTCAAAAATGGGCAGTAGCGGAATATGCTGAAATAAATTCAATTTTTGATATTCTTGATCAAGAGAGAAGATCAAAAATTGCAACGGCATTAACCAAACGAATCGTAGAATCACAAGTTGAAGCATTATCATTTCGAATGGACCTCTCTAAGACAGATCCATACATCTATGAACTACCTTCAAATCTTCAACTTTCTAATACAGATCGCATATTCGTAACGGTAATGAAAGGAGACGAATCACAAAACGAACCAGAAGACTTATTTGCTACACGAGTTCATTATATAGACAATAAAGATCTGCCTGTAATTCTTATTCATCGCCTGGGAGAATTAAAAAAGAGATCAGTATCACCAATGATTAAATTGAAACTAGGTTGGATTGTGGTTGGCATATCCCCAATTTTGAATTTATTCGAACACTCTTCAGCGCAGCCAGTTTTCGAAAGTGACGAAATCGAAATTAAAGCAAATAATAAACGACTTATGGCTGTTATTCCGAATAAAGGAAAAATAGATCCAAATAGTAGTCTTCTGGCGACTTGTGTTTCAAGAGCAAAAAATTTGCAAGATGATCCAAAGAATTCCAGATATATCACGGGAACTCATTTTTATAAGAATGTTGCTATTGAAACTTGCGCTATTGAGGCTTGTGCATTTTGTTATGATCTTCAAAACAGTGGGTTTTATACATGTGATTTAGATTTCATTGGTGTAAAATTAATGCTAATTCTAACTTTGTTATACAAAGCTCAAGCACAATTCGATGATATGCCAATTAAACTTTCGGTCAATTATAGGTAAAGTTTTTAGGAATACGTAGATAAACATAAGCAATCTTTAATTCAATTAATTTGTAGCATCGTCGCAGGAACAGGAAAACACCAATTCGGACAAACCCAAATTATTAGTAAACCTATAACTAGTAGCCTTTTAGGCTCGCTATTAAGTCAACCGAAACATTATAAAGTTCTTTTTGACGTTTATTCGGAACTAACTGAACAACCGATGACCCCAGCCACGACTCCACCAAATGAACAAGAACCGTTGCTCTCGGCACAAAAAACTCTACAAAGTCCAGTTTTCGTCAGCTTAGTTTTGGACAACTGTCCAGCACATTGCATTCACGGATTTTTTAATATCACTCCAAATCATGCTATTTTTGAGTCTCTAAACAATTCAATTACCAAGAATGGGCAAAATATTGCGTATTTCTGTGTAATGAATTATGCACCTCTAATCTAAAAATTCATGTTGATTATTAAACTGGAACATATTTAATAATTCTTCGTATGTTCCTCTATCATTGAGGATCTCTTGCTCTTACTATAGAATAAATTTATTCATTAATTAAACCAAACAAGAAAACTATTTTTTATTGTGATAAATGTATTATTTTAAATAGTGCCCCGAAAGGTCGAATCGGTTAGGTTCGAGACATATTCGTATTTGACCCGAGTATAAAAAAATTAAAATATAAACATACTCGGGTTAGCATTTATGTAACCCGAATTTGACTCGCCACGATTACATGTATAATTTAATTCGACAACTCGAATTTTGCTAAAATAATAAAATATAAAACTTAGATATCTTTTTATTGGATATTATAAATGTATTTAATTTATCGTTATAACATGTACATGTAAAATTCACCAATTACGCGAAGAAACCCGTACCTTTTCCGCCATGCTCTTTTGCATGTGATCGTCCAGTGATAATATGCCCAATTTCGGAGAACGGTTAAAGCGTTGTCCATCATGTGATCAATCCCTTAAATTTTCAGAGTTTAACTTTTTAACGATTTTTATGATTTATAAGGTCTGGGTAAGGGTTAGGGCAGAGAACAATATTATATGTAATATTGCAGTCCCGACAATTTTAATTAAGATTCCAAGACAGATTTGCCGGGTTGATCAAAAGATTTGCGCACCCCTATTGGACATGGATCACATGATGGACTACGCTTTAACCATTTCGGTAGCGAAAAATCATTAAAATACATAATGAGTTGATCGGCTAAACAATTGGACATTTTAAAAATACATTATTCTGCTCATCCAGTCTATTGTTTCGAACATTATGTTATGTACATTATGTTTCGCCCACCCTACAAAATAGAATTAGTAATTAGTCTAGTTTTTAGTATAGTTTTTCAATGATTTGTCTTTAATTTTTTATGTACATTTTTGGATATATGTTTAAAGTAAATATGCCGTCCTTGAGCCTTAATCAAAGGACAAGAGAAATAAAAAATGTTCAAAGTAATTAAAAAGAATTACCTCTTGCTTTTTTTGCTTCGAGTTTATTTGCTTTTACCAGAAGAAAGACATGTATCCTTGTCATTCGCTTTAATTGCCTTACCTTTATAGGAAAATCCCGTTGTAGAAAGACTTTGTTAGCATCGTAGTCATAATTCTCAGAAACTCAATTATAAAACTTAAATAATAAAGATAATCTCTTAAGTAGCATGATTCCCTTGATCCTCTCTAATTACCCTCCCTCACACTATACAACCGCATTCACCTTTACCATTAACAGTAACTGTAGTTACTGGCACAAGCCATTAGAAACCAACAAAAGAGATCCGATTGCTCTCTAGATAATCCGACCAAATCCCTTCCAAAACTTACGTGCTATCCCGCTTTGAGAACCAATAGATCGGATAGTCGTGACAACATGCACGTCTATTATCTTTGTCATGTACATGTATTGGGGTCATCAGCAATATCCATTTGGTAGCAATCTTGCGAAAAAATGCTTGCGTAAAGTTAAAATATTGATATAATAACAACAATAATAAATTATTGTGAACTTTAATTTTAATTTATACAAATTTCATAATTTAATGGGAATTCTGTATCATATAAGATCGTCTAATACTGTATACTTTGATCTGAATTCTTTTGCTCGCTGTGATTTATATTTGGATCTAGATGACGCCATGTTGGAATCCCAATTTTGCGAAGCCATGTTTATTATTTTAAGACTTTTAAGAGATATTATTAATCAATAATATACATCATATATATATTGAAGATATTTTTCTTCAAAAAATCCTTAGTAAAAAGTTTATTAACGCAAACTACGTGAAGCTTTCAAATCACATAAAAAAATTACGGTACGCGCATCTTCGTAGTATTTAAGTCATCGATTATCCAAATGATCACCCGGGTCGAACAAAGCTATTAAATAACGATAATATTTCCGACTCGATTTAAAACTCGAGTCGGGTTAAATAACCCGGGTTGATTCGATCGTGCTTGGAGCACTATGTTCTTTTAGTAAATTGAACTCACAATTGTAATTCAAGTTATTAATCATTTCTTAATGTTATTTATTGTGATTTAGGTTACAAATTTTGAAAATGATATTATGTGCTTAACTTCCCTCTTTCAAATTTCAAATAGACACACCCACTTGCACCCAATAATTAAATTAAATTCGCTAAATTCGATAATCTGCTTTAAGAATTATATGAGATTTTTCACAAGAATGAGCTTGACTTTAATTGTGAGACTACAGATGTTGTCTGAGATTAACTAAGTAACTTGGAAGCATATATCGCTGTGTAAATAAAATAATATGATAATAAAATATGTATGTGCAGTCTCAAAAATGTTTAAAGGAATAATTATTACACACCCCTTCAAACTACTGATATCAGATTGTTGTTCACAGAAAACGTATCATCGAAAAAGATTATCATGTTCATTTGATGAGAAATTCCAGTATTTTCAGTATACTATGAAGTTAATGTAATTTATAAGTGTGAATGTATTATGATGAATTCATTTATAAAAAAGTTGTCGTGATTGCAAATTCGAAAGTGTTGTGCTGGTTCTACTATTTTTAGATATGAAGCAAGTATTCTTTTGTCAAAGAAAATTTGTGCATCACATTTTTATCAATTTTGGAAAATGACTTACAAGGCTACCTGGCCCTAACCACCATTTTGATAATGATTTCTATGTTTTGATGCTCAAATACCGGTGAGCAAAAGTGTCCAAAGCTTCTGAATTAGTTACTTCTCAAGAAAATGATGAATATTACTTTGAACAGTTTTACTTGAAAATTTTATCTTTAAACAACATACACCTAAATAATACAATAGACAAGAAATAATACGAAACGTGTAAAATCGTTAAATATGATTTTTATTTCAGGTTTATTAACATAGCTAAATTAGAAATTAGAGCATAAAAGGATGTATTTATAAAAGAAAAAGTAACAAGAATATTTTTAATTTTTTAGAATGATCGTTATAGTCAATAAAAAATAAACTAATTTTATTAATACCATGTACATTAAGACAAAAAACTCGAATTAATATTTTTATTAAAAATTTGAATCATTTTTGATAATCATATATACATGTATTTATATAATACGTAGTTGCAAAGCATCCTGATAATAGCGGAAGTGCCTATTTTAATAAAACTATTATGATTTGTTGTGTTTCGATACAAAATATCAGAGGCTAAGCACACTGATTTTTATCTTTCTCGCTATTTTCAATTAATTTAAATCTTTCCTTTGAATTTCAAAAAATAAAATATAAAAGATCTTGCCCCTAATTATGAATGGACACACTTAATTATCTAATTACAAACTATTAAAATTATTATAGGAGTAAAAGTCTCTTTTGTCGAAATAGATATTTTTATTTGCAATGAAAACATCATATTTCTAAGCATTTCAAAAATAACAATAATATTTCTAGTTCAATCTTAAAATGCAAATTTATATTTCATAATTTTTTCAACAAATATTCACGCAAATATTTGAATAAACATATTTTTTGTATAGCACGTTGAAAAATCAATTCTGCATCTAAAATTATATAAGCGATAAACGATTTCCTATGAAAACAAAAGCTCTGCGCATTATTTTACTCATAGCATTTACAAATATCTTATATTAAAGGTTCTCTAATAAGTAATCAAAGTTTCAATATTTCACAATGGAAATGACCAAAACGTAAAAAGCTCTCATCTTCAATTAGCATCTTATTTCACCTATCAAAATGTATTCATTCTCAGAAAAAGTTGAATTTGTATCATACAACGCTGTGATAAGAAACCAATAAAAAACGTCTAATAAACTCGAATTTGAATTCCGTTTGTTTATTTACAACTACTGTATTTAAATTTCACAGCTATATTAAATATCAATCCAATATGCATATATTTATTTATTTCAAGTTTTCTCTTCATTTAACATTATTCACACAATTCTTCTATTAAAGTAATTGAATAATGTTTATCCAAAATTTTGTTTTACATTTTTTTTCAATTCTTTTGTTCGATAATTGAGTAAAATCACTTGTATATAATCGTGTCTAATCTAAATTGCAATCGTTCATTTTGATTTCAAATTTGATATTTCTTTCCTAATTGTTTTATTTAAACACGTTTTACATGTTCATGGTTTCTGCTTAGAACATTCATTCTTAAATTTCTCATAAATGAAATTCGAACAAAAAGCTTGAAGATAACTTTATAAAATTTTTCTTTCACCATATAGTACAATTAAGTTTAGAATATCTAGGACCTGAAAGAGGTTTTAAAAATAAAATTAAAAAATAATTACGAAATTAAAAAGTGGTTATTTTAATTTTGTCATTTCATGCAGTTGACTTGAGCATTATAGCTGAATGTTATATTATAAAACTTAAGTTAAAAGGCAGAATGTAATAATTAGTTTATCTTCTGGAATGGACCGATATAGTTCAATCAATTTTGGATTTAATCCTTTAATGTAACGCGAACGATCTTGACAACTCGATTTACAAATACATAATCAAATTTTTGTCCCTTGACTTTATAAATAATCGAAAGTACAGTCTTCCCGGTATTTACGATATCTCTGTCCATAATAAAATCACTGCGAAAATATAATTTTTTTCATAGTTTATGATTTTATTTAATAATAACATTATATCAATGATCTACTAAAATTGACATAAGAATATGATGTGTAATTTTGGATTTTACCGTAGTTCAGTACATGTCGATGTACTAAGCTTATTATCGTTAATAATGATAAAAATAAACAATAAAAATCGATACACAAACTATTAATACATTTAAAACTGTTGTACTAAATATTAAATTCCAATTATGCGTCTTATTTCCCTCAAACACTACACACCATTGAATTGTAACTGTGATCTCGTCATTTTCATTCAAACATTCAACATACTCATCTTTGATTGGCTCAACTTTCACCTCGATAATTGATCCTTGTGATATTTGATAACTTGCTGTAAAAGTTGGTGTTTTTCGTGTGGTGGGATATTCGACGTTGAATGAAACAACTGAAGTTGGAGAAAGAGACTTATCAACATTTATTCGGCAAGACCACTGTTGTGTTATCTCTTCATTTTCCAGAGCTGCTTTCTTCTTTGATGTGATCTTCAATTCTGTAGACCCAGTTTTAATTTCTTTATCACGAGTTGTGGAGTCAAAATAGCCGATTTCACTTGGACACCCAATTAACAGCCATTTAAGCTCATATGATGTTTGTAAGCTTAGAAAACAAAATAAAAAAAAAATTAGGTTTAAATATTCGTCTTAACATAAAATAAAAAATTTTTTACCTCTTAGAGTTTGTCCGAATCCAATCTATGGAAAACCCATATTCTGATTTTAAACAAAATTTCACATAAAAATTTGGGATTATTTGGCCATTAACATCCACAACTTTTCCAAAAATTTGATAATTGCTGCTCTTTAAACCGTTATCAAATGTTATCCGTTGATAACCAGTTTCAGTGTTAATGGCTAAAATTGTAGTTGTACCAGTCATTAGAATATGATCTTGTTTACTGAAAAGCCTTTCAATTTTTTTCTGTTGATTGATATCAAGAATTTTATACATTGGGATAACGATGCGCTTGATTATATGCCATTCTGTTTCGAATAATGGAATAGTGTCAAGCCATTTTGGAATTTGACTGTAAAAGAAAAAATAAACTGTCAAACGTAGTAGAAATATTATTAACCGTTGCACATAAAATTTATAAAACAAAAATTACCTGATTTCAATTGGATCACCATTTGACATCCATAAATACAAAGGGTCATGCGGGTGAATTTCCTCTTTCCAACGGTTTAAAATTTCATTCTCTAATAAATCATTATCTAATAAAAAAGAGATAAATTAATTTCTCGAATAAATCAATTATGAAATAAAACTGTTATTATATACCTGTTACATTGAATTCTGATAAATAGATTGGACTTTCATTTTCATTCTTATTCTTTTCTCTATTAAAACGTACTATTCTTTGCAATTTATCACCAATTATTATCTTAGTGGTAAATATGTGTCCGAATTTATCAAAAACATTTTTTAAATCCTCAATTGGTGTATTCGACTCCAAAGCTTCTTCAATATCGTCCTTTAATTCAGTAGTTATTTTAATACTTTGAATACTATATTCAATCGAAGCTTGCTCACTCGTAATTTCACAATAGACATCATACGTTTCTAGATCATTTAAAATTGGATTTTCTGAATATTTTCTGTAATTCATATTGAAGAGCATGAAAAATTTCTTTAAATCTTCGACTGAATTTTCATCAATTTCTAATCCCGAAGAAAGCATAAAAGAATCACATATTTTTGACGAGTGTGAAATCTTTATGTTTTGTGACTTCATGTATTTAATTATTGGTTTTGGTGAACATATTGCAGTATCAATTGATTGTTCAATTGAATATTTACTAATTATTGTGCCATTGACCAATTTGAATTTTTCTAATATTTCTAATGGCTGTTTTATCATTCTGGCGCTAGTATTTCCTGTTTTCTCTACTTCTTCGACTTCTTGCAAATGTCTATCTGGTAAAGAATATAATGCTTCTTTGATAATAGCTCTTCCTGCAATACTATCATCAACAGCTACTCTTTGCTGCTGTTTCTGCTGCTCCTCCGATTCGTACACAATCCGCTCAATTCTTTCTAATACAGATGATATTAGCGGACGATTTTCAGGTTTAGGATCCCAACATTCTATATAAAGCTTCACGTAATCACTTTCAGTTTCTGAATTCGGTGTTTCTCTCAGTCCCTCCTTTGCTATCGACAACGCAAATGTAATATCAAAATGTCTTCCCTCAAAAGCATATTTACCATGCGGATTCGCAATCTCCCATAAAATAACACCGAATGAATAGATATCTGAACGGCTGTCAAGCGGATATTTAATATCTAAAATACGTTCTGGCGCAATGTAAGGCACCATATCAAATACTCCGTCATCGGTTGAAAAATTGACGTTAATAAGTCGCGACATTCTAAAGTCGGTTAATTTGACGACCCCTTTTTGTATTAGAATGTTTTTTGAATGCTACATAAAAAGATAGTCTTTAATGATTTTTGTTCAATCAAAAAGTCATAACTACAGTAATTAACTTACAAGATCCTTATGCACAATTCCTTCTTTATGAAGTATACGCAGTCCTCTAGCCACTTCGTAAGCCAATTGAAGTCTGCTATCCCAAGTTAAAGTTTGACAATTTCTCTTTAGGTACTGTCGCAAGTCACCTCCATCAGCATATTCTTGAATTAGAATATAGTCTGAGGTTCGAGGATCTTTTTATATTAAAGAATGAGCATTTTTCGATAATAAGAGTTAAACTTTACAATCAATAAAATACCTTGACTAATAGCCAGAAAACGAATCACATACGGGCAATAATACATTTTTTTATTTATTTTTAGCTGCAGAATTTAAAAATTTATCAATATAATTATAAACTAAGAAACTATGTTTTGAAATTATTCTCATGTTTACCTCATCAACAAAAGATCTCCAAAATTTATCTTCGTTTTCCGATATATGTTCCAATTTTAGTCTTTTACAAGCGACTGTTTCACGCAGATCTTTCCAATAGGCAGTAGTCACAATTCCAAAACTACCCTCTGAAAGCTTTTTTTCGTTTGCAATATCTTCATATTTAATAAATTTAAGATCGAATTTTAAGCATTCGTGCAACCATTTTTCGTATTTATTGTTTTTTGTGCTATCAATTGCTACAAAGTATTTCAAAGCAATAATAATATTAATATCAATAGTGATTGTCAAAGTATATTTAAAATTATACCATTTATACTTATAAACAAAAACGCTACCTGAATCGATTGGAAAAATATCACCTTCCTGATTCACATTCGGCAAAAGTTTGCTCGCATAAACGGCCAAGGGATGCGTTGTGTAGCTTTCGATAGCATCATATTTGGATGCATTTACAATTCTAAACTCTTCAGCATTGTCTATTTGTTGTTTTTCCGTTTTTGTAATTTCGCGTCGATACCTTTTTTCAACGATGTCGTAGATCTCTTTGGAAGTTGGTCTTTGTGCGGGATTTTGATGCCAACAACGTACAATCAAGTCGCGGTAAAAGTCAGGTAATCCTTCAGGTAATTCTGGTCGCAATCCATCGCATATATCCAAAGCTAACTTGACATCGAAAGGACGTTTACCGAATGGCGGTTTACCAACACACCACTCCCACATAACCATTCCTAATGCATAGACATCTGATGCCAAGCTGAGTACTTCTCCTCGGAAAATCTCTGGTGCAACAAATGGCATCACACCAAACATTTGTCCTTTTTCTTGTCTGATTGCAGCACCAATATCACAGATTATAGTCGAATTTTCACTTAATCGAAGAATATTTCCAGTATGTAGGTCACCGTGTATAATACCTTGCAAATGAATAGACTTAAGATCAGAACAAATATCATATAGCACTTGTATACGATCCTTCCATGTTATTTTGGTGAATTGCTCTCGCAAAGAATGTCGCAGATCACCAAGGCTAGCATAAGTGATAACTAAAAAGTATTTTCTATTTGAAGGATCGCATGTTATTCCATAGACTCTATAATATCGACCCCTATATGTAACCGAAAATAGAAGGATACTTAAATATAAATAAAAAGAAAAAAAACCCAATTTATTTCTTACCTATTATCTTCATTATCAGAAAATTGGTAAGAAATTGTATTAAACTGATATCTAATAAAAAGTATAAAACAGTAAATAAAATAGAATAAATCTAAAATAAATTAAAATAGTGAATTTTCTACCTAAAAAGGAAAATAAAATCGTTGATTTCTTACCACCTAAATAAAAGATAGAATAATGGATTAATTAAATAAATATCAAATAAAATGAAAAGAATATGTCGTTGATTTCTTACTCTCTAAATAATGGATAGAATAGTGAATAAATTAAATAAAATCAAATAAAATAAAATGAAAATGTAAAATAAATTCGTTGTTTTCTTACTCTCTAAATAAAGGATAGAATAATAGATTAGTTTAATAATTAATATCAAATAAACTTAGATGAAATGAGAAAAAAATTCGTAGATTCTTTACTCTCTAAATAAAAAAAAGGATAGAATAATGAATCTGTTAAACAAATTAAAACAAAAAAAATAAAAATAAAATTGTTGAATTCTTACTAACTAAATAAGGATAAATAATGAATTTGTTAAATAAATTAATATCAATAAAATTTAAATGAAAATGCAAAATAAGATCGTTGATTTCTTACATCCTAAATAAACGATAGAATAATGGATTAGTTAAATAAATTATTAATATCAAAGAAATTCAAATGAAAATGTAAAATAAAATATTTAATTTCTTACGAACTAAATAAAGGATAGAATAATGAATTAGTTAAATAAATTATTATTAAAATAAAATTAAAATGAAAATGTAAAATAAGATCGTTGATTTCTTACAAGCTAAGTAAAGGATAAAATAATGAATTAGTTAAATAAATTGTTAATATCAAAAAGAAAAATTATAATGAAAGATGTAAAACAAGATTGTTGATTACTTACGTTCTAAATAAAAGATAAAATAAAGGATTAGTTAAATAAATTGTTGATATCAAAAAGAAAATTATAATGAAAGATGTAAAACAAGATCATTGATTACTTACGTTCTAAATAAAAGATAGAATAATAGATTAGTTTAAATAAATTATCAATATCAAAGAAAATTATAAAGAAAGATGCAAAATAAGATCGTTGATTTCTTACGTCATTAGTTAAATAAATTATTAATATCAAAGAAAAAGAAAATTAAAATGAAAGATGTAAAATAAGATTGTTGATTTCTTACGAACTAAATAAAAGATAGAATAATGGATTAGTTAAATAAATTATTAATATCAAAGAAAATTATAATGAAAGATGCAAAATAAGATCGTTGATTCTTACGTTCTAAATAAAAGATAGAATAATGGATTAGTTAAAATGAATTATTAATATCAAAGAAAATTAAAATGAAAGATGCAAATAAGATCGTTGATTTCTTACGTTCTAAACAAGAGATAGAAAAGTGGATTAGTTAAAATAAATTATTAATATTAAAGAAAATTCAAATGAATATAAAATAAAATCTTTGATTTCTTACGAACTAAATAAAGAATAGAATAATGAAAATGAAAATTTAAAATAAGATCATTGATTTCTTACGTTCTAAATAAAAGATAAAATAAAGGATTAGTTAAATAAATTGTTAATATCAAAAAGAAAATTAAAATGAAAGATGTAAAATAAGATCGTTGATTTCTTACGTTCTAAATAAAAGATAAAATAAAGGATTAGTTAAATAAATTATCAATATCAAAGGAAATTAAAATGAAAGATGCAAAATAAAATCATTGGTCTCTTACGTCCTAAATAAAAGATAGAATAATGGATTATTTAAAATAAATTATTAATATCAAACATCAAAGAAAATTATAAAGAAAGATGCAAAATAAGATCGTTGATTTCTTACCAACTAAATAAAAGATGGAATAATGGATTAGTTAAAATAAATTATAAAGAAAGATGTAAAATAAGACCATTGATTTCTTACGTTCTAAATAAAAGATAGAATAATGGATTAGTTAAGAAAGATGCAAAATAAGATCGTTAATTTCTTACCAACTAAATAAAAGATAGAATAATGGATTAGTTAAATAAATCATTAAGACCATAATGCAAGATGCAAAATAAGATTGTTGATATATTACATCCTAAATAAAGATAGAAAAATGGATTTGATAAAATAAATTATTAATATCAAAGAAAATTAAAATGAAAGATGCAAAATAAGGTCATTGATTTCTTACCAACTAAAATAAAAGATAGAATAATGGATTAGTTAAAATTAATTATTAATATCAAAGAAAAATTAAAATGAAAGATGCAAAATAAGATCGTTGATTTCTTACGCCCTAAATAAAAGATAGGAAAAAGGATTAGTTAAATAAATTATTAATATCAAAGAAATTCAAATGAAAATGTAAAATAAGATCTTTAATTTCTTACGAACTAAATAAAGGATAGAATAAAGAATTGTTAAATAAATTATTAATATCAAGAAGAAAATTAAAATGAAGATGCAAAATAAAATCGTTGATTTCTTACATTCTAAATAAAAGATAGAATAATGGATTATTTAAAATAAATTATTAATATCAAAGAAAATTACAAAGAAAGATGTAAAATAAGATCGTTGATTCTTACGTTCCAAATAAAAAGATAGAATAATGAATTAGTTAAAATAAATTATTAATAGCAAAGAAAATTATAAAGACGCAAAATAAGATCGTTGATTTCTTACCAACTAAATAAAGATGGAATAATGGATTAATTTATTAATATCAAATAATATTATAATGAGAGATGCAAAATAAACTCGTTGATTTCTTACCAACTAAATAAAAGATAGAATAATGGATTAGTTGAACCAAATTATTAATATCAA